CAATAACATATAGTATAGCATAACAAGTTATAAATCAAAAAGTGAAAAGTAAAAATGCTTACAATATCTCTGATATTTTATTCAAGTTTCCACAGTTAATTTTGCTCATTATTCTGTTCATGCCCCAGCCCTTACATATTCCTACATCTGAAAAGTAAGAAGTGATGGTGATGTTCGGCTCTCTAGTTAGGAAAGACATTGCACGTATGTGGCACTTTTCTCTCAACTTCATGATGTCACAAAGTGTTTCACAGCCAAGGTGCTTTTCAAGATTCCTCAGTATTGCAAATTCTGCAACTTGTCTAAGCACAGCCAAATCTCCAAAACTCCATTGCGATAATAACCAGATCATCTGTTTTTGGTGCTGTTGCCTGTGGGATACATGTCAGCTAGGACGATTACCCTGCCTTTCCTCAGAAAAAGAATCATCATAGGATTGCTTATGTCCACAGAAAATTGGTGAAACGCCTCATCTGACTTGAATACTTTTGTCGGAATAGCAATAACAACCTAACTTTCACACTGGAGTGGGGCTTAAACCTATGATTTTCTGGCCTCCACAACAATAATGCAAGCACTCAGTCTAGTAGACTTCAAATAATGTATGTGCTGTAAATTACATTGGTCTTCTCTTAACCAGAAGAACTAAGCAGTATTACATGTTGAGATTGTTTTGAGATGTTTTCTCCTCCAGCATTTCTTATCTTCCAACCTGGCTATCCTCCCACATGCACAAACTCAGAATGAATTAAGTCTGTTCACTGCTAGCTGCAGGCTTCCACTAGCACTAGAATCTATAAATGTAAATATAAAGCATCTGCTTGGCTCTCAAATGAAAAGCCAATAGAAAATCCATACTTCTGATTTAATAAATAACAGTAATTCTAGTGGATCATTACTTTGGTTAGTTTGAACAAAGATTGTCGATAATGTTAGCCATTGATGATATGTACAACACAGATTAGGTCGAGAATCTATTCTACTCACCCCAATTTGTTGCTGAGACAAATGACATTTGTGATTTGAGCTCATTTAAATACAAGAGAGGAGCTACTGGCAGTAATTAAGCTGCTTGAATGTAATTTTCCATTTGAGAGAAGCAGATGTTGTGGTGCAGTGGTAGTATCCCTACCTCCAGGTGAGATGGTTTAGAATCAAGTCCCACCTGCTCACATAGATGTGTCATAACATGATTCTCAGGTTGATTAAAGGTATCTATTTGAAATAATTAGGGGCTCTTGAGGTAGCATCCCTACCTCTGGCCCAGAAAATCAATTATGCAAATCCTACCCACTCCAGAGTTGTCAGGGAAGGCTGGATACATTTTAGATTGGAGGAACACATTTATTTCAGCACCTGTGGGAAAGAACATCAGCAGTTTAAATGTACGATTGATTAATTAAAAAGTCACTTTTTTGCCATATCATTCAAGACCAATTTCATCTGACGTTTTCAGGAAAAAATATTGAATACCTGGTCACAATTATTTGAAAAATGAATCTTAATTTATCACTTTCTTTCTGAATGGGGGTTCTCTGTAACCATTTCTAAATGTGACCCAGGTGAAGGTGATGCCATTGATCCCCAAATTCTACCACATAGGTGCTGTTTTTTGAATGAGATGCTAAAGAGTCTTGGGAGTTTATGGAAGATCCATTGATGCCTTTTGAATAAGGACAGGGGAATTCTACTTACTATCCTAGTCAAAATTTATCCCTTTACGAATATCACAAAAGAACATTTATTTTAATCTTTAAGATGTAGGCATTGCAGACAAAGCCTGAATGTATTGCCTGTGCTTAGTTGCCCTTGCTGATGTGGTGACCTGCCTTCATGAAGGCTATAGTTCTTCTGCTGCAGGAAGATGTCATTCAGAAAGGAGTTCCAGGATATTGATCCAGTGATGGTGAAAGGATGGAAATATGCTCCAAGCCAGAATGACGTGTGACTTGGAGGGAAACTTTCTGGTTGCAGTGTTCCCATGCCTCTCTCCTTCTATAGGGTACAGTTTCCAGGCTTAGGAGGTGCAGGTGAATGAGGCTTGCTGAGTTGCTGTAGGGCATCTTGTATTGCTGCTTCCAATGGTGGAAGTGGGAATGTTTCATTTGGATAGAGTTCTGATTAGCCAGACAGGAAAATATTGAGCTTCCCGAGGGCTGTTGTTGCAACACTCATTCAGGCAATTAGGAAAAATTCCATCACAATCCTGGCTTATGCCTTGTAGATGGTGGACAGGCAGGGAGGTGACTTTGGGAGTCAGGAGGAGTAGTACTGCAAGTTTCTGACTTGATCTTGCAGCCATACTATTTTGAATGGATGGTCCAGATCAATGGTAATCCCCAGCATGTTGATAGTGTGGGACTTGACTGTTATCATGCCATTGAATGTCAAGGGACCATGGTTAGATTGTCACTTGTTGGAGATGATTATTGCCTGACATTGTGTGGCATGAATGTCACTTTCTTTCTTATCATTCCAAGCTTGAATGTTGCCCAGATTGTGCTGCATAGAGACATGGGCTGCTTTAGTATCTTAGCAGTGTTGAATGGTACTGAACATTGTACATTATCAGCAAACGCCCCAACTTCTGACCTCATGATGGAGGGAAGGCCATTAATGAAGCAGCTCAAGGTGTTTAGGTGTAGGACATTATGCTGAGGAACTCCTGCATTAATGTCCTAGGGTTGGCCTCCAAAAACCACAATCCAGTTTCATTTGTGCTAGATATGACCCCAAGCAGAGGTGAGTTTCCTCTCTGATTCATATTGACTCAGCTTTACTAGGGATCTTTGTTGCCACACTTTGATATTAAGAATAGACGCTCTCATTTCATCTCTGGAGTTCAGCTATTTTGGACCGAGACTGTAGCAAGTTCAGGAACCTTGTGACAACTGTGGCAACAAAACTGAGCACTTACATTTATTCAGGAAAAAATGTACTTTGCTGTTTAGTCCAGCAATTATTGCCCACTCCTAGTTGCCCTTGATAACGGAGGTGGAGAACTGCCATCTTGAACTGCTGCCCCCTATTTGGTGTAGGTACCTGCATAGTGCAGTTTGGGAGAGAGCACTAGGATTTTGATCAAGTGACATTTCGGAATGGCAATGGAATTCAAAGTCAAAATAGTGTGCAGCTTGGAGGAGACAATATAACAGTTATTACACTTCAATAAATATTGCCCTTCATTTGCTGTCAAGCACTTTAGGCCATTCAGAGATTGTGAAAGTTGTTATACAAATGCAGGTCTTTCTTCTTCTTCTCTATAGCCTTTATGGATCAGGCTAAGATTTAAGTAGAGTGCTTCTCTATTTAAAACAGAGTGCTTCTGAAATTTCCATTTAAGCCACTGGATAAAGTTCTTGACAACTGGGTGATTTTTCAGTGTAATGGATACTGGCCATTGCCTTTTTAGGCTAAAAATTTAAATCTATTAACTGTGAAATGTTGTATTTATTTTACTAACTTACATTTTGAACTTCTTTGAAAAAATAATCTAAGGAGTTTATTTTTAGTGATGAATGTTTTCACTTTGTGGCAGCACTTGAAACTGAACTTGGAAAGAATGTTTACATTTTCCTTTTCTTACATGGTGGGTTTTTGTCAAGAGTTTTCACTCAGAAGATGAACTCACTTAACTTTTAAAACAACACTTTTTAAACCGCACTTCCTATCTATGTTCAGCTACATAGATCTGAAGATCAAGAGTGCCCAAGTCAATTTAATAATTCCTTTCATAAAGTATAACAATTGCTGTTTTGCAATGCTGTAAAATCTTAGAATGGGGCACAAAGAGCAGTACAGCACAGGAACAGGCCCTTCAGCCCACCATGTCTGCACCAATCATGATGCTACTCAAAACTAATCCTACCTGTCCCTGCACATGGTCAATATTCCTCTATTCCCTGACAGTCTCCTGACCATAGATCATAAACATCATCACATCAGGATGAAAGCAGCAAACACTATCTTGAATGATTAAGACATATAAGTGTTGCCACTTGGAACAATGTAGATATTCAAAGTGCAGAGTTAGCATCATTAGATAAGTCTTTGAAATCTCTCATCAACAAGCTACTAAAAGGACAAACATTTCTTGCATTACTTATGCTGTTACATTTGCATCCATACATATGCTGTTATTTCACAACTGATAAATCAATACAAAACTGTCCAACTGTCCACTCGGCAACAATAATTCTTCTAATAAATTCTTTTTCTAATAGTTGTATGTTTTCGCAATGGTTTATGCTTTGTCAATGGCTCCCTACTTCCCCACTGTATTGAGCACTGTGTTGTGGGTACTGAGAGAATTAGACAGTTGCCCCTCACTGCTTCCTGGTAGATTTGCTTTATGATTGTTTCCTAACTTAAGTTACCTAAGTTTTCTGAATGTGATCTTTCCTGAAGGAATGCTCTTCTGTGACTGAGACTGGACACATCCTTGAGCCAACAGTGGAAAAGGCTTCCTTTGCTTCTAATCCAATAATTTTGTATTTTAATAAGTGCAAATGCATTTCCCTGGCAACAACACCTCAACCAATGAAAAACACCCAATCCCTTTAAACTATTGAATGGGTGAATTTGTGCATGTGTTCAATTAGAGGTTTCTTGCCCTACATTCTTTTCCTTCATCTCAAGTTTAATTCTGCCAACATAACTATTATTTTTCATTACTAGCCTTAGAGTTACTCAAATAGAATGTCCTTTGAGCAGTTTCAAAGCTCATAATACAGTTAGTTTACTCTAATTATAACATGACAAAATACCTTGCACTCAAAGACTGCCTAATAGAGGCACCAGATGTGAATGCACAACAATCAAATAATGAAGAGCAACTCCAGGTTTAGAATAATAGTTAAGTAGTAAGCTTATTTAGCTTAGTTGAACCTTACATGATAGTTGTGCACATTTTTATATAAAAAGTGCAGTTTTACTATGTTTTAGATTTCAGGTCAAACTCATTTTTCTCTAATTACATTTTGGCATCTTTTCTTTCCCAGGAGTTTATGCATTTGGACTTTTTGCCACTGATATATTTGTAAATGCTGGACAAGTGGTGACAGGAAATCTAGCCCCCCATTTTCTCACAGTCTGTAAACCTAATTATACAGCACTGGGCTGTCAGCACGAATCTGTGCAATTCATCAACAGTGAAGAAGCCTGCACTGGCAACATAGATGCCATTACAAAAGCCAGGAAAAGCTTTCCATCTAAAGAGGCAGCATTAAGTGTGTATGCAGCAGTCTATCTGGCAGTAAGTAAATTTGTTGCGTCCTGTTATCCTTTCTATAGCTTAATTGCAGTGACTTAAAAAGAATTCTGCTCAAGCAATCAAACAAAATTGCTAAAGGAGGCTACAAATTTCTCCAAATGTACAGCAAATTTTTGACTCAAAAATGGAGCAATTATTTATAGAGTTATATCATGGATCCAAATTTTTGCCTCAGTGAGAATTACTCTAGACGTCTGATGACATCTCCTAATCTGTTTAAAAATACTGATACTTTATTACAACTGGGACAATGGAAATGATTTTATTTTATTGATGTTTAGTTCAGTTTGTTATACTGGTTTGCCTCATATAAGCATTATTTTCAATGGAAACATAGGAAGCATCATTGCCACTTATAACTATTACAATTAGCACAAACAATCTTGAGGATAGAACCACACTGTATATGAAAGGAAATTCCAGAAACATTTAAAGCAGGACTTCCAAATAAGTGGGGATTGAGACCCCAAGTGGGGTTTGGAGCTGAAACTTGGAGTTTGTAAGCTCCAAGTCTCCAATGGTCACAAATGGAGCTCAAACTGAGTAATAAAAATTGCATCCTGCACTAACGGATATGCCTCCACTTTCACAGAGCCCCCATTGCTGTCACACATTTTACTTATGTGTACACCCCAACTGTTCTCACTTTCAGATTGTGATTATTTTCACATCTCAAAATGGGGTCACAGTAGGAAAAGGCTTGGGAAGCCCTGATTTAGAACTATAGCTAGCAAGAATGTTACACAATAGGAAACCTGTATTAAAAGTAGTGAAAAAGAACTGAAGAAGGAAAGAAACCAGGTAAAGAAGTGACACTTATTCAGTTAAATAATCATAAAAAGTTTCGCAGGTTAATAAATGTATTTCTTACACTTTCAACTTGTGTATACCTGATCATATCAACTCATTCTATAAAGACATTTCTTCTCATCGTAGCACTTTGCTAATTGTGTTGAATCTGTGCCCTTTTGTTGCCTACCAATTTTGATAATGGAAACACCACATTAATTCTAACGTTCATCTATTCACAAACAAGCCCTGTCCCATTGAGTATTTTTGGAGGTTGGGTGTCTCTCTGGTCATGCCAGTCTCTGGGTAATATGTTGTGTATCTTTGAGCCAAGTTAATGGAAAGCAGACTAATTTCTCCAAGAGGCGATAGAACACCTGCAATGTCCATATTCCTGAGTTTTTCCGCTAAGATAGGCCATACACCAGCCAGAGATTCATTGACAGATTTAGTAAATTAAAATCTGGGTTATAATAGCTGTCCGCAGCAACTAATTTGATGTGCTTACTGCATCTCTATAAAATCAGTTTCCCTTACAATTTACTACATCTACTACAAACACGTGAGCAGTTTATTTTCTTCCACCTTCCTGGAACTTTGTAATGTGCTGAATAAGCTGCTATGTTCACTAATAATCCAATGATGACAAAAATAAAGTAATTAATTGTATATCTTAATACCAATTTGCTACAATGTATGCTGTGAGCCTTTATTTTATGCAATGACCTTTAATGTGGCACCTCTGGAAGTCCATGTACAGTACATTCACTGATTTTCCTTCATCCACAGGACATGTTACTTCCTTAAATAACTCCAGCACATTGGTTAAATATGATTTCCCTTTCATAACATCAGGTTGACTCTGCCTGATTGCATTAAACTTATTCCAATGCCCAGCTGCAACATCTTTAATAAGTCTCGAATATCTTTTCTATGAAGATGTTTACTGGCCTGTAATTTCCTACTTTATCTCCTTTTTATGATAAAGGAGTTTCTATCTTCCAGTCTAAAAAGACTGTCCCCAAATCTAGAGAGCTTCAGAAAATTAAGTGCATCAACTATCACTTATGACTTTTTTTAAGACCCTAGGATGAAGTCAATCAGGACTCTAGCACATGGGCAGCATAGTGGCTCAGTAGTTAACACTGCTGCCTCACAGCGCCAGGAATTTGGGTTCAATTCCGCCCTCAGGTGACTGTCTGTCTGGAGTTTGCACATACTCCCCGTGTCTGTGTGGGTTTCCTTCAGGTACTCTGGTTTCCTCCCATACTGCAAAGACATGCAGGTTAGGTGGATTGACCATGTTAAATTGCCCATAGTGTTCAGAGATGTGCAGGCTAGGTGGATTAGCCATGGGAAATATGGTGTGGTACAAGGATAGAGTGGGTTGCTTCAGAAGGTCAGTGTGGACTTGATGGGCCGAATGGCTGGATGCTTGTAAAAGAAATAAGAACAAAAGGGAATATATTTAAAGGAATGTTCAAATGAAGCAAGGGTGATATGAGAAATCAACTTTTGAAACACAAGTTGATAGGATGATGCACTGCTTGGAAATATAATGGAGGCAGGTTCAAGTGAAACCTATCTCAGCCCATCGCTCTGACTATTCACTCAGTGCCACTTCTCTAATGAGATTTTTCTCAGATCCTCCCTCTTTTCTATTTCCTGATATATAGCTACTTCTGGAATGTTCCTTTTATTCTCTATAATGAGGGCTGGTGCTTGATCAATTCATCTGCCATCTCTTTATTTCCCATATGCTATATGCATGGATTTCCAGAAGACATTTGATACAGAGCCTCACAACAGACTTGTGAAGAAATGTGTAAATCATTGTGTAAAATAGACAGTGACAAAGTGGATACAAAATTGGCTGAGTGATTAAAAAAAACAGAGTAACGATCAACGTCTATCTTTTGGGATGGAAGAAGTTTCGTAGGGAAGTTCCCCAAGAGTTGGTTTGGGACCCTTGTTTTTCCTACAATCTAGGTCTAGGTGTGCAGGCATCAATTTCCAAGATTGCAGATGACTTTAACCTTGGAATAATTGTAAACTGTGAGGAGGATAATGTGGAACTCCAAAAGAACATTGATAAGTTGGTGGAGTAGGTGGATGAGGTTCAGTACAGAGAAGCAAGAGGTAATGCAGGTTGGCTGGAAGAACACTGAACAACAATACAAAATAGGGGGTATAATTCTAAATGAAATGCAGAAGTAGAGCGAACAGGATGTGTATGTGCACAGATCATTGAGGGGGGAGAAAGCAGTAAATAAAGTATACAGTGTTCTCACCTGCGTTAATAGGGGCAAAGTGTACAAGAGCAAGGAGGTAATGGTGAACTTTTACAAGACACATTTTGGATCTCAGCTGAAGAATTGTGTACAACTTTGTGCACTACATTATAACAAAAAAGGATAGAAATGCATTGGAAAGAGTGCAGAAGCAATTTACTAGAATGGTTCCAGGTATGAGAAACTTGGTTTGAAGCAGTTGGGACTGTACTAACAGGAATGGATAAGGCTGTGAGACGATCTGATAAAGGTTTTCAAAATCTGGATAGGCTGGACAGAGTGATAGGGTGAAGCTGTTTCTGCGTGTAAAAGAAACAAGAACAAAAAGGCGTAGATTTAAAGGAATGTGCAAATGAAGCAAGAGAAAAATGAGAAAACAACTTTTGAAACACAAGTTGATAGGATGATGCACTGCTTGGAAATGTGATGGAGGCAGGTTCAAGTGAAATGTTTTAGAGGTTATTGGACAGTTATTTGGATGGTAGTGGTGTGCAGGGATATGGGGAAGGGCAGGAGATTCACACTAGATAATAGAATCAGTATAGGCACAATGGGCTGAATGGCTAGCTTTCTCTCATGTGCTAAATTTTCCCTCCTTAATAATTATTTTGTCATTCTTTGTTTTGTCTTGTATTCTGACCTGTGACCTGTCCTTTTTTTCGTTCTTCATAGAATGCATGTATCAGGTTTTAAGTCCAGCATTTATTATTGCCCATCTCTCATTGTCCAGAGGGCAGTTAAGAATCAACTACATTGCTGTGCATCTGGAGTCACACTTAGGCCTTTCTAGTTTACCATGAGTGATGGGTCCGTCCTTTGGAATTGCCCTTACTCAAAAAAAAAAGTTGATTGGCTGAATGGATGGTTTGCAATAGAGTGATTTCAAAAGCATGGGTTCAATTCCTGTACCAGCTGAAGTTACCGTGAAGGTGTTGTCTTCTCAACCTCTTCCCTTGCCTGAGGCATGTTGACCCTTAGATAAAACTCATCACCAGTCATCTCTCTCTAATAAGAGAGCAGCCCTATGATTCTCTGGGACTATGGTGACTTGACTTTTACTCATTGGAATGTATAAATTGTGTGTTCTGAAATATCTGCCACTGCACCTCTATTGTCCTATCCTTCAATTTAATTTGCAAGTTCAATGTAGTCAGCACTGGTCTCAAGTCTTTATGACTGCCCTTACTTACTTTAAAGGAAAAGGTATTGGACCCAATGCATTCTCTTTCAGTTTGAATGTACAATTCAATCACACTATGGTTACTGCTACCTCATCTTCACTATGAGGTTTTTAATTAATCCTACCCCATTGCAAAACACCAGGTCCAGTATAACCTGCTCTCTGGTTGCCCCCAGAACATGGCACTCTAAGAAATTATGCTGAAAACTTTCGACTCTTCTATGTTACTTTTCCCAACCTGACTTTTCCAGCCTGTGTATATTCAAATCTTCCATAATTGTCATTGGGCCGTTCTGACCAGCTCTCAGTAATTTTTTCTTTATGCTCTACCATGTGGCTACAGTAAACGAGCTTGTATACCTCTCCCACAAGAATCGTTTTGAATCATAGAATCCCTACAGTACAGAAAGAGGCCATTCAGCCCATCAAGTCTACATCAACCCTCCGAAGAGCATCTCACCGAGACCCACACCCGTAACTGTTTTTTTACTATGGCTAACTAACATAACCTGCACAACCCTGGACACTACTAGGCAATTTTTAGCATGGCTAATCTACCTAACCTGCACATCTTTGGACTATAAGTGGAAATCGACACAGACACGGGGAGAATGTGCAAATTCCACACATACATTTGCCCAAGGATGGAATTGAACCTGGGTCACTGGCATTGTGAGGCAGCAGTGATGACCACTGAGCTACTGTGCCACACTTTACAAAATGCCTTTACAATTTCTTATTCCCCATCCAAGCCATTTCCACATCATAGTTTCCTCAACTTCAATCACCCCTCTTTATTGTGCTAATCAACTAACAGATATCCCTTCACCTGTTCCTACCTTCCTGTCCTTCAATATTTAGGTGGATTTAGCCTTTGGTTAAAGAATTTTAAACAGAATGTGTAATCATTGTGACATTAAAAGGTTTAAGATTGTGATTCAATTCTCTTTGTAGATGTATATCACGTGTACTGTGAAGGCTAATGGGACAAGACTTGCAAAACCTCTCCTCTGTTTGGGCCTCATGTGCTTGGCATTTCTGACTGGAATAAACAGGGTAGCAGAATATCGAAACCACTGGTCAGATGTTGTAGCAGGATTCATCATAGGAACAGCTGTAGGAGTGTTCTTGGTAAGTAAACATCAAAATAATTAAAAGAAAATGTATCAGTCCATCCTTAAGTTATAGCATTGATTCTGAAGAGACAGTCATCAGTGTTCCACAACTACTTTACTTGAAAATTGGGGAATCAAGTTTCAACTCATTTCATCAGTAAACATTTAACCAGTGTTTAATTCCGTGGTCTAAGTTGTGATATAATGCTACATCTACATAACATTAGACATTCCAGAGGCAGCATGTTAATTCAATATTTACAATATTTCTTATTATTGGTTTTCATGATTCTTCACACATTGCTTCCTTGATCATTTTTCACTCGCAATTGATTCATACCACATGTAATATATTAACAAGAAAATATGAAGATTCTAGAATGTGATTCAATCAAATTAATAAAAATTTGCTGAGTATGATTTTCAGATTTTGCCATTGAAATCTTAATGATTAAGTATTACTACAGCATATATATTGCTTAGAGTTTGCAAATAACAAACATGGAGCTTTAGTTTAGGGAGCAGAGTGAAAATCCTGAATGACTGTGTCATATAACACTCATTTTACTGTTGAAGATGACACATGACACACAAATGATGAAATGTGCTTTGGAAGTCATTCAAAAACGTGAAATATGAAGTGATTTTTTGCATCCTTTTGTTCTACTTGTATCTTGATTTGTATCTATTATTCTTAAATATTAGAGGTAAATTAAATTCTGTTTATTTAAATTATTTTGAGTGTTTCATTTTTTTTCAGTAAGTCAGTGAAATTTTGTTTTCTGTCTGTGCTACAAGTTTCGGAGAAAGAATGGCATTAGCTAAACACATGCTGCAGTTAAACAGAAAACACTAACTTAAACCAATGTAAATTTGAAAATAACTGCTGTGAATAATCCCGTCAAAGATAGCAATTGCTTTGACAAGGCTGAATATATGCTTCTGAAAATATAAACTATTAAAAAAAATGTCAACAGTATTAACATTATTTTCTGAAAACACATCC